TATGAAGGTGAGATTAAATTACGCTTTATTTCCAATGATCAGTCACTTACTTACATCATTCAAATACCACATCAGATGTTATTATCTTAAATTAATGTTTAATAAATGTGTCTTACATGACTTTTCATTCATTATTAATTCAGTCTGGCTATCAATAGAACTAACAGCCAGACTGATTGAATACTGTATGATGAGCTACCTATAGGGACTGGTAAGGAAGGGAAGACTCACTGCTGGGGCCTGGGTACCTCCTCTACGAACAGACGACTGTTTGAATTCCACCCGGTCCAAGCGTCGGCATTTCCATACCCAGAACAGTTCCCCACATTAAAGCCCACACGAACATGTCCCTTGTGGATCCTGTCACAGTGACCTTCAATATGGCGGACACGGTGGATGTTGTGACCGACTCCTTTTGCCATGTACAAGATGCCGTCAATAGCACGAGGGGTCTTGCATTCCGCACCGTTGAACGTGAAGAACCAGCGCTTACAACACCCGTTACAATTAATAATTTTGAAACCTCCATTCCAGTAAACATGGAGGATGGAATCCGTGAAATTCTTGTAGAAAAGACAATCCTGTATAAAGGGATCGAACGAAAAAGCTTATAGGAAAGTTTAAAATATTTTCCAACATACCAAGTGGGAATACACTGCCTCAAGGACACTGTATGCATGGGAGATGTATGCTCCTATTAATGGCATGGGCTCTTGATCTGGGAATATACTGCTTTTCATACATAGTATAAGAGGTGGATGCTCCTTTTGTGTCAGATAAACCCCCACAAAAATATTAATGAAAAAGCCTTTGAAGCTAATTAAGGGTTTTTAAATGTGAAGACAGCCACAGTAGTAAAAGGAAAAACATAGGAAGGGTTGTTGAATTGAATACTAGGTAAAAGAGCATGTTTTCATGAAATTTACATACATACCCTGATCAGACCATTGTCTTTTTCTTCGTTAATGTTTGTCCACGAACACTCTTTCCAGTTGAAATAGGCTGAAATACCCTGAGGACCAGTGTTACCTGGTGCACCAGCAGCTCCGGGAGGTCCTTGCTTTCCTGGAGTCCCTTCCAATCCTCGAGGACCTTGTTTACCTTGAGTACCTGGTCTGCCATCTCGTCCGTCTCGTCCATGAGCACCGGGCGTACCGTGGAGTCCAGGGATACCAGGACGACCCGCCAGACATGAAAAATTTGACGTTGACTAAAAAGTATGATGATCATGTTTTGATTAGGCGTTAAAGACTGCTATGTGAGCGTGCTTTGTTTCCAAATACACGCACGCGCTCAATATTGCAAATCAGGCAAGTGCTATTAGCCATTCCGAATATGAGGAAAAAACTCGGTCGAGTTGGCATTGAAGTGTCTTTTTTTGGACAATTTTGGGGACGAAATAGCCACCATCTTGAAAATATTCCACATAAAACTGCCCCAGAAGGCACTGCAATGCCAACTCGACCCAGTCTTTTCTTCGAGCTCGGATTAGCTAATTACAGTACTAGTGATCTTTAATGTATTTTTGAAACTTCTTTTCCAAGAGCACTTTATAAACACTGTAAAAACCATAATGTCTTTGTAATGAACCAGTTAAAATTATCATATTTAAGGTGGTTTGGCACTCCCACTTCCCTAGCTTCGATAGAAAAGACTAACACATATAAAAGTCAGAAATGCAATAAAAAATAGGGGTCACCGTGCTCGTTTTGAAACTGTTGGGGTTGGTATTAGGCCAATTTTTGCCCTATTTGAGCTAAAAATGGAACATTAAAATTCTAGAAAAAAAACTTTCGCGACAAATTGTATATGATTTTTATAAATTTGCTTTATGATTCCAGCCAAATACTCTTCATGCTATACTTTTCATCAATTTATTCCAATAGGACAGCATGGGTTGAGCTATTTCACGGAGATTGGAAAGTGGTACTCCATGAATTTCTTGTATACATCACCTCAAAAAAAGTCAAAATTACCATGTTTTGCCTTGTAAGGACATTTAATTTTTTATCAAGAATTTAAAAGATTGTTTTATGTGCAATGTAAAAATTTAAAAAAAAGTTGGGTGTCACCGTACTGTATTCGRGGCTATAAGCTAAAAAGGTGTGAAAAATCTCATGATTTCGATGTTTTGGCCGCGCGAGCTTGGGCACTAACTGTTATTAAGGCCCATATGAAATGTTATGGAGTTTTTTTGAATCAAAACTCCGCGAATGGCCATATTTCGCCTCTAACATGAGTTTTCATTTGAGCTGCATCGGAAATTTTATTTCAAACTACCTCGTTACGTACTAAATATTTGAAAAATTCCACTCTGCATTAAAGTAAAAAGTCAACAATAACTTCACTTCTAACCCAATAGTCTTCTTGGAGTTTTAAAGCTTTAAAACGTAGATTTTTTCCTGTGTTTTTGGCTTGGATGGCAGAGAAGCGTCATGCTTTAGCTTGACGTGCAAATACGCAGAAAACAGTGTTGTCACGCCGTTTTGTATGCTGTGTAACGCTTGTCACGCATTCGGTTCGCATTCGACTTACCCCTAATGATATTCTTTAAAAATTCGTATCTCTTAAAACTACCTGGATACTCCGATCCATTTTTTTTTTTCCGGTTTAAATTATAAAGTAAATCTGTATGTACCTAATGATCGTAAAATAGGGAGCACGAAGCTTAAAATTATATATTTTAAAGCCAACTTAGAGTCATGGTAGTAGGGGTATATTGCAGTACAGAAACAAATTGTCAGTAATTTAGGTGGATTTAGATGGAAATTTATCAAAATCTTTTTTTTTTTTTAAATCGTTTTTTCTCGTGTTAGTAAAATCAAGACTTCATCACTTTTTAACGATTCTTTAAACTTTATTATTTCTTTTAAATGCATGGTGATCCCTACTTTTCTAACAGAATTTTACAGCCCTTCGATAGGTTAAAACAATTCGCATAGTCATTTTAAAATATTATTGATTCTCAATTAGCAGGTACCGTCCTTTTAAAGTCACATTTTGAACATAATTGCACAATTATTTTAATCCATATATGTGACTAATTAGTAGGTTTTGACTAAATTAAACAATAAGTCCTATCGTTCTCCAGGTCTTCAAGTCAACAGCCATTCGTTCGGGCTTCAATTTTAATTGTTAATGAAATCATTAGCTTACCTGTCCGGCTTGCTTGTTTTTCTGTCCACACGCCGGCTTGATGACGGGAGAAACGAACACAGATAAGGACACGAGTAACACGACCACAACGAACCTCATTCCGTACTGTGAAGGAAAATTCGATTAAATAGATTAAAAGAGGTTTACAACTTTATGCCTTGTCCAACGTTAACGACTCATATTAACAACATGTACAGCATCATCTTAAACATCTTTATGCTTATGATACTAAGCTTTATTTATCTTTTCAACCTATTTGACTGTATGCTGAGTGAAAATGCGTCAACAGATATTAATCGATAAATTGAAGCTTAACGAATACAAAACGTAATTTGTGCTGATAGGGACCCGTCAACAGATTGCTTGTTTCATTCGATTAGATTGGGCCATATATTTCCGAAGGAATTCATTTGGAGAGCCAAAAACCTCTAGCACCAGTTTGGTCTTTAGTTATCTATTTTATAACTTCGAAGACATACTAAAATAAAAGACAATATTAAACTAAAGAAATGAAAAAAAATGAAAAGGCACTATGAAGTTAAATGTATGGTTTTCTTCCCGTTTGATCCGTTTCTCTTCGTTCATGGCCATTTCGAATGTGCATGTATTTTAACGTTTTAGTCAACCAATATTTCATGCAGCTAAAAATGCAATTACATTATTTGATTAAGAAAAGGCGTGAGGGAAAAACTGTTAAAAAACATGGAAGCAAAAAAAAAATCACCCACTCTAATATAACATTAAGTATTTAATTAAATTGTTCGTTTGAGAGACGTAACGGCCGAAAACACAGGAAAAGGAGAAAAAAATGGCATAAAAATATATTGTAAAAATGTTTAGTTCCTACTCCTCTTCGCTCATCAAGATGCAGAGACAAAGTCATAGATGCGAGAACGAGTTTAGTACTCAGTGTAACCTTTATTTTAAAACTCAAGCAGTAAAGGTAACGAAGCTTTTTTTTTCTTAAAAATTCCTTTTTTTTAACGAATATCAAAAAAAGTTGTGACCTACCTGCTACGACTTCAAGTGATTTCTTTGTTCTGTAGTATGTTGTTCTGTTGTCGATCACCCAAGGTACTGAATGAACTTCTCTCAAGCGGACAGTCAGTTAAGTAAAGACTGACAAGAGCTTGAAGCTCCAGTCCTTACATGTTGTAACATGTTCTGTCATATCATTAGTAGTAAAGGAGGAAAGAAAGTCAAGTTGGACTTATTTTCTGAGTTTTGAAAGCTAATTGGCATAAATAATGATTTCAACATTCATGAGGGGGGTGGGGTGGGGACCAAAGTCATACATCACCGAACAAAAGATGTATGATTCGTCTTGTCAAATGTCAGGCCTCCTGTGGATAGTGTCCAACGTATTCCATCCTCCCTACTGTGTTGTTTTTCCGCTTTCATACCGTTCATGTACGAACGTGTTCAACACACACATAAACATTATTGGCAATGATAATACACTTGAAGAGCGCTTATTCAGCTTTGTTCTGCTGATAATAACCGATAATAACCGATTGCAAACTATATATGTCATTATGAATTATAGGCCAGTTGATGAAGTACGCAGACCAGATATAAAAGAAGAAGCCATCCAGCTTAGAGCATGCATCTCTGGGTAATAGCATTTATCCGTATGTTACTAGGCAACGCCGTCATAGAGAGTCCGGCTGCAGGATGACCAAGAGTCATGCTGTTCAGCTGTCCGTCTACCAAAACAGTTGAAAAATTAGGTTTATCGTACCTCAGTGACCCATTGAAAGAGTCTGATAAAAAGCGTTATCTTTCAAATTCTCTTTTCCGTCGTTCTGAATGGCCAAGAGAACAGCAAAATAAAGACCTACAAATAATATTCTACTCGTTTGCATTATGAAGCAAAGCCGTTTTGCATGCTGCTGCAACTAATACTCTAGTCATGCGCAGTAACGACTTGATACCTTTGATATCTTGGTATCTCATAGCAAGAACAAATTTGAATGATAAAACAACAATTCGAAAAGCAAAGGGAACATGCATTAGCTAGTCTAGTAATATAGGCAGTTTTCGTTCTATCTAAAAGTAGTATCATGGTAATCTGGAAGCTGCTTTGAGTTCACTGTTAATCGTTTAGTTCAACCAGGGTGCTTGCTTAAGTATATTAAGTAGTGACATCTATAAGGATCTTGATATAATGTATAATCTTATAACTTTAAGAAAAAAATAATGATCAATACAAAGGCAACAATTGACGAAATTTTAGAAAATATGAAGAATTATAGGCGGTTAAAAATAAAGAAAGGGTATTTTGGCTCAAGATAATTGTTTCGTCAATAAACGAAATATGACAAGCTACGGTTTCAGAACTTTATTCTCTTCTTACGTACATGAAGCTAGAAGCTAGAAGCTAGTTGCTAGTTGCGAGTTGGATATGCGAGTTGTTCGAAATCTAAGAAAAGCGAAGCAAAAATAAAGCGTTACTCATATCTAGAAAAATATATTCAAAGTTGAAGCGATCTGACTTACCCGGTAACTTGCTCTGAAACTCGACGAACTGAATTTAAATTAGCGTCACTTACTTATATACTAATGCATCTTAATCGGAGGCAAGCTACTCGTGCGTGCGTGCAAAAAGGAGTCTATTATTGAATTCTATCATGCTTTTCTCGCATAACGAAACAATAATCATTTTCATATTTCTAAAGAATGTAAAAACGACCACATTTAAAACAAAAGAGACATCAAGCACGAAACTTTACTTAAACTTTTGAGACGCGAGCCAAGCAGTGCATCAGGGATAAAATATGTTTCTAATATCTTCAGTAAATTTGCAATTCAAAAACAATGACAAAATAAAACAAGCAAATAAGAAAACAATATTTGAAAAATTAGGAATTCTTTTCTTTTTCTTGTGGACTCTTCCCCCTATCATTATGGCGCGCTATACACGGAATCAAAATATGGCGACCAATTTGAATAACTATTGTTCTGCACTGACTAGCGATTGATTAGCTTCGTTTTCCTGTGGAAACATAAAAGCTTTTTCACATGTATGTGAAAAAGGCTAGTCAGTCGCTAGTCAATGCAGAACACTAGTTATGCAAATTGGTCGCCATTTTTGATTCAGTGTATTGTTACGTTCTCCACAATAACTTACAAAATTCTCAAGCGCTGATTAGTTACTAGGGCATACAGATAAACTGACGTCAATGAGCGCTCTCTCTCTTTGTTGATTGTTTTGTTCGCTAAAAATGAGAAGTTTTTATCGTTTTGGTTATCGAAAAAAAGTCAGTCTTTTATGTGTCTGTCCTCCTATTGACGATACATTTCGTCACCATACATTGCCAAAGCTGTTTGCGGATCCACTAGCTCTGCTATGCCTTGTGGATGACGCCATTTATCGTCCATAAGAGGACAGACACATAAAAGACTGATTGCAGTTTGTTAATTTTTTGTTGTTGAAAAACACAAGAAAATATGAGTAAACATTGAGCGCGCGCAGTAAGTGAGTATGGAAAAACAAACGATCAAATGCATGATACTCGAAATAACATCAAAGAGTCCTAATGATTGGTCAACCAAGATGGTGGCCACGTTTTTTGACCTTTTATCCTGAGGGGAAGGGATGCACGCCACCAATAGATTATATTATTATTATCATTTGAAATTGAGTATTAGTAATAACAATGACATTAGTAGTACTAGTAGTAATAGTAGTAGTAGTAGCAGCAGCAGCAGCAGCAGCA